TGCGTGGGCTTTTCCTTCCCTTTTTAACTGTGGCTCCTAAGGGATCATGTAGGGCGCTGGCCCATGGAGGACAGAGCGGCCTCGGCTCACCGGTGAGCGAGCTGCACCAACAGAGGCTCCGTGTGTGGGCAGGGACCCCTCCACAGGGTGCCGACGGGCTTCCAAGCACCCCTGTCTTGCTGCAGATGGGACCCCTCGCTGAGACCCCAGCCCCAGCCTCACACCTGTGCCAGGCCCTCTGGGCCCTGGGGCTGTCGGCTCTGTCTGGCCAGCTCCCTGGGGGGCGCCAGCAGAGGCCCCACCTGCCTGAGCTCTGCCCCAGGACGTCTTGAGAAGGGGTGTGGCCACTGCACCTGGCACTGCGCCCCCACCGTGCGCCTGGCTCTGTGTGAAGCCACTCTGCTGACCCGGGTCCCAGGGTCACTAGGAGAAGAGGGGGTGGGAGATCAAGGCCGGGGTCAGGGCCGGGCAGGGCCCGCAAAGCCAAGAGGGGCCCAGGGAGGCGCCGGCCCAGCTTTCCTGTCTGCGCTTCTGTCTGACTCTCTCTGGAGGCTGGTCCCACCCAGGCTCCATCTCCTCTCCCACACCTCAGTCCCATGGCCACGTCATGGGACAGAGAGTCCAACCGGCCCCGCCTGGGGCAGCTGTACAGGGCAGGTCCAGGGGATTTGGTGGAGGGTTCTCCGTCTCAGCGTGGCCTCACGTGGAAGCAGAAACAGAGTCGGCCGTTGGTGAGACACAAACTGGCCCAGAAGCCCCAGGAAGCACCCTGCTGGCCCTGCCCTGGGCAGCCTCGCAGCCTCCCACAGGAGGCCCCTGGGGTGCAGCGAGGACTGAGGCCGACCTGGACCTGCAGCCCGTCCTGCTGAGCTGCCCACCTGGGCCGTGGCCCTGGAGAAACCCGTCCCCTTGTCATTCCATTCTCAGCAGCAGACAGAGTCCTCACGGAGCTGACAGGACACCCAACGGGCATCTGTGCGTGGCTGGCCTGAGAGGAGGCCCCCTGGTCCCTCCGCCGCGCCGTCTCTCTGTCTCTTCCTCTCCCTTTCTCCCCTATGTCCC